TGCAAGGCTAATTTGTCGCCCGCCTACCATCATGCTTGCCATCTTAAAAGTCTCTGGGCGAATAGAGTTTTCTACCTTGGGGAACACAAAGGAACATAGCCAAATTTATAAGAATGCCGCTACATATGCCTCATCTTTCTTGTCAGACCTCACCCTAAGCTTAGAGAATATTGTTTCTTGATCACTCGACCACCTCGTCGTCTCGGGAATAACTCCATTAAGATTATGTGTTGACTTTAGGCGTGCGGATTTCTTTTCCTTTCGCAACGGGGAAGGCCTATATATTAAAGCTTTTTTATACCAAAAACTTGTCGACTTGATGAAGGAGACCTTTTGGGTAGCACTCGTACGCTCCTTAAGATGATGAAATGCGGAAAATAAATACTCGCAAGATCGAGGAATAAATCTAACTTGTTTTTCATTCAAACCGATGAGTTCTCTTGTCTTAGGTACCCGTTCTTCGTACGGAGAACCCACAATGGGCAAACCCCCAAGGATATGTAAGTCCCAAAGAGATATAGATAGCTCCCCGGCTGATGTAAGAACTGTGTTCGTCTTGGGGCACCAAGCCTCACAAAATGCTTGCAAAATGTTCGAGTTTCGATCATAAGTGAAAAGTGAGGCATAGACAGCATCGTAAATCTTTGTTGTACTCAGAGTTTGTTGGCTTCTACCAAGTACGTCTTTAGCCCATTCCCAATATCCTTGGATATGACGATACTCGGCCTCGATTGTTGTTGTGTTTTCCCAATGTACTTCGCCTTGAATTATGCGACTTCCTAAGTTTGGAAGGGTGCTAGCAATATTTACATGGCGATGGATTGGCGCTTGGAGAGACCACATCTTGGATAATGGATTAGAAATCGATTTGTGTTCCAAGGTCCAGTTCTCTACATGAAGGGAGTTCCTTAGAGGAGGCCATGGGGCTGCATATCGGTTGGCTTGTGAGGTGTGAACCAAAAGCTTGGTTTGTTCTATGCCATCTTCAGTCTCGATGATGAGATATCTAAGTTTTGAGGAAGGTGAGGTATAGTCCCTGAAATTTGCCATCTCTTCGTGCTAAAAAAAAAGAAAAAGAAAAGAGGGGTCATCAAAGTTCGAATCAAGAATATTAGAATGGGTACAAAGGTCTAAATGGATGAAATGCTCTCCAAGAATCGGGCCATTTTGAGAGTAATCTCTCCAAGAATTGGGCCACATTGAGAGTAATCTCTCCAAGAATCGGGCCATTTTGAGAGTAATCTCTCCAAGAATCGGGCCACATTGAGAGTAATCTCTCCAAGAATCGGGCCATTTTGAGAGTAATCTCTCCAAGAATTGGGCCACATTGAGAGTAATCTCTCTAAGAATCGGGCCATTTTGAGAGTAATCTCTCTAAGAATGGGGCCATTTTGAGAGTAATCTCTCTAAGAATTAGGCCACGTTGATAGTAATCTCTCCAAGAATCGGGCCATTTTGAGAGTAATCTCTCCAAGAATCGGGCCACATTGAGAGTAATCTCTCCAAGAATCGGGCCATTTTGAGAGTAATCTCTCCAAGAATTGGGCAACATTGAGAGTAATCTCTCCAAGAATCGGGTCATTTTGAGAGTAATCTCTCCAAGAATTGGGCCACATTGAGAGTAATCTCTCGAAGAATCGGGCAAGGATGAATACTCATCCCCTCACACCCCAAGATTATCTTCTTCATACATGGATCATCTTGTTGAACAAGAACATATCTTTCCCGCTTGACCTGTAAAAAGGAAAAAAAAGACAACAAAACAAGAAAAACAAAAAGAAAAGAAGAAGAAATTACCTTATAAATATTCCTGAGTGCACAAAAATAGACTCAATTAGGTTGCAGATACTGCGAATTGATGCTCAACAAATTAGAGCCCAGGGGTTTATATAGATCTCCATAGGGCGCTTACAATATTATATTGCCGATGTGGGATCGAAATTATATCGTGAACTCCTAAAAGGACTCTGATTTGTTTATTGCGGCGACAATGAATCCAAGATGGACTCGAGTTGTTGTATGCAAAGTTAATTCTATAAAATTGTGTCACAATGAGGAAACACTTCCTTTTCCCAAAAGGAATCGTAGGAAATCAAGTGTCAAGGCGGANCGTAGGAAATCATGTGTCAAGGCGGCAATTTTCATATTGAAATCACAACTTTCAATATTTTGTCTTATTCCTATTAAATTAAATGGTCATTATATTGTTTAAATAATTGACCGGGTGTACACGTAACAAAATCGCATGGACAATCTTTTGTGCTTTAAACTGGTCTAAGCCAAATTTGGTAGACCGTCAGTATTTCATTACCCGTTTTCGATTCCGACAAGTCAACACTTTAACGAGCCTTGAAGTATGGGGCATTTGTAGGCGTATAAAATTTGTGATATTTAAATTTGTAAATTAATTTGGACTATATCAAGATATATTGGTCCAGATAAATATTATGGGCTAATATATAAATGAATTAATTATATAAGCCCAATATATATTGATTAAATAAATAAATCTTAATCCATTGGGCTAGCCTATTTAATTGGGCTAAAGTGATGAGCCCACTTCATTAAGCCCAAGATGACATCTTCCTAGAGGCCCAGTATCATGCCACGTGTCAAATGACGTGGCGTGACAAGTCAAACGGGAGAGCCAATAGGATCATGCCACGTGTCAAAATGACAAGGCATGCCAAGTCACATTAAAAGGCCAATGAAATCGTGCCATGTGTGCAAGTGACATGTTCTGGCCAGTCAAATGCCGATATATCACACTTCAATTTGATTGGTCGGAAAGAGTTTGTTCTTATCATAACTCTTCCTTTCAACAACTATAAATAGAGGTCTTCATAACTCAGAAAGACACCAGAAGTTATAACAAGAAGCAAGAAAAAGCTCGTGGATCAAACGCTGCAAATTTCTCCACAAGTGTCAAGTTTCAAGTTCAAGTTCAAGAAATCAAGTTCAAGAATAAAGAACAAATCAAGGTCAAGTTCAAGTTTAAGAACAAGATCATCGTTTGTGGCAACAAATACATATTCAAGATCAAGCTCAAAGACCCTTGAATTTATTTACTATTGAAAAGAAAAATTAGAGGATTCATAGAGATTGTACACTCAAATATTTGAAATAAATACTACGATTGTTGCGATATTTTTCGGTCTTGATTTTATTTTCTCGACGCAAATTTATTGTCTACAGTTATGTAGGAATTAAGTTAAGCAGGTATTAGTTAAGAATTAAATTTATGAGATATTAGTTAGGCATATATTAGTTGTGTGTGAATTAATTCTTTTTTGAGTGCTTGGTTTATTATGTTTAAAATTAGTCTCACATCATATAATAGGTTTGTTTTTTTAAAAAAAATTTTGTTTGCAAAAACATTAAGCAAACAAGCAGATATCTAGTAATAGTAGAACATAAAACACAATAAAAAAAATGGGAAAATGGCCTAAACTACCCCTATCATTTATTAAGTGGTTTATAAATATCCTCCGTCCATTTATCCGTTCAAAAAAACACTCGACGTTAATTCTATTAACAAAAATACCCCCATAACTAACGGCAGAATTGGTGGGTCTTTCCTTTAATAAGGTGGCGATTTTTAACTGCGCCACGTGACAATCTTTGAATGGAACAAAAAATGGATATTATTAAACTCATTTACCTTATGCGACTCATTTATCTATCACACCCATTCCCACTCATCTGACCTCCCCCTTTTTTCTTCTCCAATTGAGACACTGCATGCACACAATAAAAAATTAATTAAAGAATAGATAAAACCCAAAATCAAATAACCCGAAATTTAAATCAGATTCTGAAATTTCTCCAATCAAACTCAGGATAAGTATTGAAACTCTTAACTGGAAGATCAACATATACATATGGGTTGTTAAGTAAGAAGACAAGGATCAAAACATACCAAAAATTTGAAACAAAAAAATTGAGCCCAGATGCTAAAATTGTCCAAATATATCAATCAAATCTAGGAGAAATATTGAAACTTTGAAGGGGACAAATAATGAGAACCTTTGGATTGTTCATAAGAAGACAAAAGAGCCATGAAATAACAGAGAAAAAACAACTACATAAAACTGATGCAAGCACACAAGAAATTGAAATCCAGGAACTAAAAAGCTTGAAATTATCACATTGTAGGATAAAGATTGAATCTATAAAACATAAAAAAGAAGAAGTAAAGGGTTACATTTGGGATGTTCATAAGAAGAAGGAAAGGAGGACAAAGAGCCATAAATTGCAAACGAAGAAGTGAAAGCCAAAGTCATATTTTCACACATAAAGAAAGATTTGTTTCAGTAAAGAAACGCTAAAACTTCTTTGTGAGATGAGAGTTGGTTTGTTGGGTGATAAGGAAAAAGAGAAAAGAAAAAAAAGCAAAGAAAAAGAAAGAAAATAATTAGGCGGGTTAAATAAATAGGGTCGGACCAGGTAAATGGGTAAAAAGAAGACCCATATTTGATTCTTGGTCAATAATGTCACGTGGCCCAGTTAAAAATTGTCACGTCATTAAATGAAAGACCCATCAATTCTGACGTTAGTTGCGGGGGTATTTTTGTTAATATAATTAACGTCATGTATTTTTGTGGACGGATAGATGGACGGAGAGTATTTATAAACCATTTAACAAACGATAGGGACAGTTTTGCCATTTTCCGTAGAAAAATTGTATAGTAGCAGATAAAAGGATATTTTTGTTATTTGTTAGTTTAATCCACCTATTATTTAATATGCATATTTTTATTTCATATTTTATCTTGTATAAAAATAATATAAAAAATTTCTTATTATCTCAAAAAAGAATTTTTTTTATACCGGTATAAGAAAAAGAAAAAACCTAACCAAAACTATATTGGATTCACCAAACAATGTAATTACATAAATTATACATAGTTTTATATGTTTAATTTAAATTTTATATAAGTAAATATTTTTCTATAAATTCCAAAATCAGTACTCATATTATTTATCCAGTGTGATTTTAAACTTACTTTAAAAGGAAAACCTATTTGTTTGGTTTCTACCCTTGGTCTTTCCTGAAGAAGACAGAAAGTGAAAACGCTCAGAGCAGTGGTGGCATAGTTTTGACACCGTCATCATCGTACTATCCTCATACTCTGGCTCCGCCGTCCACTGTCGGCATAGGTATCTGACCATCGTAGCCTTCTCGTTTTCCGTCTATTCTTACCGCGTATACATGCTGGAGATTCTGTATCTGTCGGTTTAAAATAGTACGGATTTGTAATGATACGCTGTTTGTGCAATTTTTATTTTTGCTGCACTAGGGCGTTCTTTTTTGGATTTTTATCTCTTCTGCTCTATACCAGTACTCAAATTTGATTGATTTTTCAATTGGGATTTTCTGATTAATCGAAGATGATCAAGATTATCGGCTTGTGTTATCTGGGTGTTAAAAAGATGATTTTTTTAATGGCATAAAGTATAAACTGGGTATATCCTATAGCTCAAGTCTAGGTTTCTTGTTGCATTAGGTTTTTTAGTTAACCCTAAAAGTTCAATTTTTTATATTGGGTTTTCAGTTTTGGATTTCCTCCACCCCCCC